ATCCATTCTTCAGTCGAGGGGCACTTAGGTTGTTTCCAGGTTCTGGCTATGACAAACAATGCTGCTATGAACATAGTTGAGCACATGTCCTTGTGGTATGATTGAGCATCCTTGGGATATATACCCAAAATTGGTATTGTTGGATCTTGAAGAAGGTTGTTTCCTAATTTTCTGAGAAATCGCCATACTGACATCCAAAGGGGCTGTACCAGCTTACACTCCCACCAGCAATGCAGGAGTGTTCCCTTTACCCCACAACCTCTCCAGCATAAGTTGTTATCAGTGTTTTTGATCTTGTATGCCACTTTTTCTAAATTACAATATTGGTTCCCTAACCAGGAAAGGTTCTTCTGGCATTTCCTCCTGCCCACAGGCGGTCTGAGGTACACCAGGATCCTGGAACCCAGTTTACATAGGACAGTCTCGCTTCTCTGGATCTCTGGGTCCCTCCATTCAAAACCACACAATTGGTGAGCCTCTCCCTTCTCCCCACCTCTGGCTATTTCCTGAGCGAGGACTCATCTCTCGTGTGCTTTTTCACTTTTTGACCTCATTAAGCCCTGGTACCAGGTAACCATGGTTCTTTCGGGCTCAGAGCCCTTGGTCCCTGCCCTTTGCCTGACCACCCACTGGACAGCCTTGCCTGTGACCCTCTCTGAATTCATGGCCCACCAGGAATTGCAGACCCTTGGGTCTTCTCTGCCTCACCCATGGGAACTGTGTTATTCACCTCCTTGCTCCCATTGGGATGATTTTTGGAGACCATTCCTGATCAGCTAGTGTTGCAGGACTACCAGCTGTTAGCCACAGAGCTGGAGGCACAAGACCATCAGACACGTCCAGGTGAGGCTGTGGTGATGGGAAAGGATCGGGCGCTTTAAGCCCTAGGGAATCGACCTGGATCCATCTCAAACAGCATCTTGCCAGGTCCAAGTGACGTGTGACAGTTCAACCGAGACGATTGGTGAAGTGAAACAGCCAGATACTCCAGGACGTGGCCAGCACCCCAGCTTCCCAGGTCCCCCAAAGATGAACAATGCCTCCAGGTCAGCAGGATGTAGGTCGTCTTGAGAATATGGGGCCTCATCCCTGCCTCACCTGCTGCCCATTTTTAACTCCTCACCCCTCACCTTTTTTTATTTATTTTAATTTTTTTTTTTTTCAAGACAAGGTTTCTCTGTAGCTTTGGAGCCTGTCCTGGCACTCACTCTGTAGACCAGGCTGGCCTCGAACTCACAAAGNTTTTTTCAAGACAAGGTTTCTCTGTAGCTTTGGAGCCTGTCCTGGCACTCACTCTGTAGACCAGGCTGGCCTCGAACTCACAAAGATCAGCCTGCCTCTGCCTCCTGAGTGCTGGGATTAAAGGTGTGCGCCATCACCACCTGGCCAACTCCTCACCTTTTTATAATAAATAAAAAGGGAGGATATTAGCGTTCAGGCACCTGCACTGGCCTGCCCTTGCTGTCAGTGTATGTCCTCAGCTGCAGCCACTAAGAGCCCCTCTTGTGCGCATTCACTGTGTTCCCCTTTGAAAGGGCCCTGCCCACCTCCCATCTCTCCCTTTTTCTCTGTCTCTGTCTGTCTGACTCTCAATCTTTCTCTTCTCTCCTGCCGCTCCTGTCTCCAGAGGCCGGTCCCCCTCTCCCCCTTTTCCCACTCACCCCCCCCATAAAAACCCCTCTATCTGAGCTCTGACACACGGTGTCTTTCTCTCGCGTGCTGCTTTTTCTAAATCACAACAGAAAGGGTTTAGGAAAAAGTATGACATTGAGAACTGGAAAGGTTAGAATTCAAAGCTGAGGATTAAAACAAGGGTGTTTTTCCTCAGGGGGCGGGGAGACTGAAGACCGTCTCCTGTAGCCTAGACTAACCTCACTCTGTGTAGCTGAGGGTAACCTTGAACTGCTGGTCACAGGCTGGGGCTAGAGATCGATTTTTCCGCAGTAGAGACTGCCCCAGATAGAATCGGGGTACAGTGAAGTGAGACCGCACGACGCTTAAGCCGTGTGGCTCAGTGATGGGTCACCTACATTGTGTGTACAGGCCCTAGGTCAAATCACTAGCACTGCAAATGTTTTTAAAAAGAAGAAACAGTCGGGCAGTGGTGGCACACTCCTTTCAGCACTCAGGAGGCAGAGACAGGTGGATCTCTGTGAGTTCAAGGTCAGGCTGGTCTACAAAAGCTAGTTCCAGGACAGGCTCCATAGCTACAGAGAAACCCTGTACCAATAAATAAATAAATAAATAAATAAATAAATAAATAAATAAATAAATAAAATACAAAAAGGGAGAAGAAGGGGAAAGAAATAGAGACATAGAGACTAAAGAATTGGGAGTGTACGATCACCCTTAACATCCTTAACTACACAGCAAGTTCAAGGTCTGCATAGGTGGGCTATTTAAAAAAATACCATAGATAAAATAAAACTGTTTTAAACAGAAAAGAGAACAGTAGCATGGATTTCAGGTGCTTACCTCCAATGACACGAGACAAGGTAGATGTGCTGCTGTCAAAATCCCAGCTTCTCTTGGGAACGGCGTTTTCATACTGTGTGTTATAATACATCATACTAAACAGGTCAGTGATATGAGTCAGACTCCAAAAATGATACTGATGTACCCGCGACAGGAAACCCCCAAACAAGACCACCACAGAGCCGGTATCTGATGCAAACACAAAGGAGTTTAATTGATTTCAAGCTTGAACTTGGTCCACTGTCCAGCACTCTGGCCTAGCAGGTGGAGGAAAGCAGGCTTGAGCATTTACAGATTAGAGTTTACATAAGGAAAACCACAAGGGAAACCCCAGGTGGCTCACAGCCTGGTCAGAGGGTCTTAGGGTAACTGACATTTAACCTCATTGGTTACGGTGAGGGGAAGTACAGAGCTGAAGAGTAAAGTAGTTAAAAATACATCAGGCGTGGTTGAGACATGTGGTCAGTCACTGTCACTAGCCATGTGGTTAGTGGCTGTCATTAGTCATACCCACATCAGTCATACCCAGGGTGGGGTTCAACTCACTTGGAACTTGGGCTCATGGAGAAGGCATAAGAGAGGTGGTCTTAGTTGAGTTCAGATTTGACCCTCACAGATGCAACTCTGTGGTCCAGAGTGGAGGGAACTACTTACTCAGCCAGGATTATTGATGCAGGGTTGTAATCCCAGCTACTCAGGTAAGACTGCCGACTATCTCCTACCACCATTTCACACTTTATGTTGGAGATCTTAGGCAAGAAACTCAAAATCAAACATGTAAATGTTAATGGAAAGAAGACTACAGAGAATTTTTAACTGGATTTTGAGTGCAGGTTCTGCACACACAGGTAAAATAATCAGACTTAATATTTTAAGAAGAACATTCTGGGGGCAGCAGGTGTAGTTCTGGTAAGTACTTGCCTGGCCCTGGATGAAATTCCTAGAAGTGAAAACAAACACACAAAACAAAACCCTCTTTGTAGAGCAGTGGTTTGGTTCTCTGTGGGTCACAACCCCTTTGAGGACCGAACAACTCTTTCACAGGGGTCACTTAAGACCACTGGAAAACACAAATATTCACATTACAATTCAAAACAGTAGCAAAATTACAGTTATGAAGTACAATAAAAATATTTTTATGGTTGTTGATCAGTATAACAAAAGGAACTGTATTAAAGGGTCACAGAATTAGGAATTGAAAACCACTGCTGTAGAGAGTAAGTTACAAAAAGACGAAGGCATTCATTAACATGGAAACATGAAAAGGAAGTTGCTTTCAGAGTCCAGGCAAGGGATGTGGTGTGGTTCACTGAGTCCGAGGTAGCAGTACTCATACCACAGACACATCCCAGAGGTGCCTCCTGTAGCATCTGCTGATGGCTGGATAAGACAAGGGCTCAGGGATAAGCCAACTTTCTCACTGAGCATTTAGTAAGAAATATTGAGGTAGTGACACTTAGAGGCAAGTTGGGGCTACAGGAGGAATCAAGTGTTTGTGCCGAGCATGGTGACACACATCTTTAGTCCCAGCACTCAAGATCTCTGAGTGCTAGGCCAATGTAGTCTATCTAGCAAGTTCTAAGACGGCCAGGGCTACATAGAGAGACCTTGTCTTATGTCGGGGACTAGCTTCAACAAGGGTACCACTTACCAGGGTAGAGGCGTGGGATTAGAAAAAGAAGTAAAGAGAATGAAGACGCGCGTGAAAATAATAAAACAGAAGCATAGTATAGCACCCGGAGGGAGTTCCAGTGAACACTGAAAACTGCCCACGTTTAATTTCCCATGCACTTTTATACCCCAGTACATCAGGGGAAGAAGACAAAAGACTGCTTTCACATGATACAAAGGACAACTAGAACAGTTGCTTGCTTTCATACTTGAGATATCAAGTCATTAATTCATGAGAAAAGCATTCTGTTGTTTAGGCAGTGAACCTACCCTAGACCAGGTATCCTGAAGGCAGCCACTCTCTAGGTCAAATCTCTTAATTCAAAGGAAGGGCAGAAGTATGCTTGAATTCTCTGACCTTTGGTCAGGGTGGAGTGATCTATCTGTACGGGCCATCTTAAATTTAAAAAGACCAAGTAACCACAACTTAGGCCAGGGTGTGTGCAGCCACACTTGTTTTCAGCAACTTTGAGCAAGCTGAAACTCTCTGACCTTCAGACAGGGTGGAAATAAGCTCACATTTTTAGGCCTCCACATATCCCTCCATTTTTATTAATTTTAATAAAGCCTGTACTTCTCAACAGGACAGATGATTGTGTCTGCCTTAGGTGAACATTTTCCTGTATTCCAGACTTACCTGTCTTCAGTATACGCATTCCAATCATACATGCCCATGTCTTAGGTGCCGGGGGTGGGGGGAGGATCTTACACCTTTCTTTCTTTCTTTCTTTCTTTCTTTCTTTCTTTCTTTCTTTCTTTCTTTCTTTCTTTTTTTTGGTTTTTTGAGACAGGGTTTCTCTGTGGTTTTGGAGCCTGCCCTAGAACTAGCTCTTGTAGACCAGGCTGGTCTCGAACTCACAGAGATCTGCCTGCCTCTGCTTCCCAAGTGCTGGATTAAAGGCGTGCGCCACCACCGCCTGGCTAACCCATTTCTGACTGGTGAACTCTGTAAGTAAAGGGTTAAGGGAAAAAGCAACTCTAGGTGCCCTGTGCCTTTGAGACAACTTTTTGTCAATAGAGTTCACCAATAGCGAGATAATCATGGGCAAGCAGATGCTTTGTGCTATACACGTTCCTATGGATACAGCATCTCCTAAAGGAGTGGAGGATCACCAGGGGTGGGAAAGCCCTTTTCAATTGGTGTAGGGTGTTTCTTAACAGTTTCCAGCTGTATCTAAATTTGTCTTATTAAACATGCCAAACCCAGGAACTCATTGGTAATGTCAAAAGACAATTTTTAATCTTTTTCTAATCATTAATATCTCACAGTGAACTAAAGCCATTACAAACATTACCAGGTCAATACCAAAATTCTAGCATAAATATTAACAATAAACAAGCAATCTGTCAAATCACAATTCTCTTAAATCTGTTCTAATCAAAGAACAAGAAAAGGTTTCTGTGATTGGGTGAGAGTCCAATTGCAACGCTGCTTTATTTCTCTGAGCAGCAGAAAAAACCCTCAGGCTACCCTCCTCATCTGAAGAGGGGCTTCAGTTACCCCTTGTAATGAATCTTTTTTCCCCAGAGGAGAAAATTGAGGTCTCAGTTTTTAGGTCCCTATTTCAATAGAAGACTGAATATCATACTGGCAAAATGAGTTCTGTAGCCCAAGGTATAAAAAAATCAAATGTTCAGTCGGCGTTTTGGGGGTTGGCTCCAAGGTAAACAGGACACACTAAATCTGAAAATTTGCGCAGCAAGTCCATCAAGAGAATCAGCAGTTGTCACTGTTGGGTCCACTGGGATCCCACAAAGAAGGGGGACAGACCACCAAAGTCTTATAAACCCGGAGCAAACTTTATTCCAGGGAAAAGAAAAAAAACAAAATCTCCATGGGACACAAAAAGCTGATCAGCGAGCTGTGACCACAGCCAGAAATGGACTTGTATGGTTGTGGCCAAGGGCTGTTTATAGCAAGAAGCAAGCATTAGGCATGAACAAAAGAATTTTTACAATCTGAAGGTAAAACTCAGGTACAAATTTCTTTCTTTCTTTCTTTCTTTCTTTCTTTTTTTCTTTCTTTCTTTTTTTTTTTTTTACAATTTCCATTAACAGGGATTTTTAGTTAAACTCATGCTTGTATTTAGTCCATTATTTCTCTCTGGCACTTTCTGACGGTGTTTACCAAAACTCTACGCTCCCCTGATAGGGCCAGTTTTGGTGGCAGGGTAGGGTAAGGGACAATGCACGACCAAAAAGTCAGGAACATCCCATCCTTTAAAGGTCAACTCGGCTCACATCAGTTGCTGGTCATGAGTGGCCAGGGGGTTATCTAAAAGCTGACCCTCCGTTTGCAGAGGGACTCTCAGTTTGCAGAGGGCCGCATCAGCCTTGCAGACAGCTGTGGATTGTAAAGCAAAGTAACCCACTGTTAATAGTTACCCCTTAAGTTGTTGACAGCCTGCTCTCATTTTCCTAGGCTTACAACTTTATATTTATTTATTTATAAACTCTTAATTCTGGAATCTACGTTTCTATATTCTTATTCTTGCATTCTTCAGTCACCACGGTCTTCCTTCCCTTCTCCACCTGCAGCATGATGGGGGAAGTCAGGAACAGAGACTCATTCTGACTCTTCTGCAGGGTGGGGGCGGGGGCCTGCCTCCTAGCTGATTCCAGACCCTACCTGTTGACTGTCGACGTCAACCATCACAGGAGACAGTGCTAAACACGTTTCATGGTTTGGGGCAAGCAATTTAACTTCAAATGATATGATAATATTTTTTTCTTTTTCCATTTTCATGTGTGTGTGGTGTGCGTGAGTATGTATGTTTTACATGTGTGCTGGCCCACTAGTATGTGGGGGGTGTTCACATGCATGTAGAGGCCTGAGGCTGATCTGAAGCATCCATCATTCTGGATCATTCTTCCACTTTATTCACTGAAGTGGGGTCTCTCAGTCAGATCCAGAGCTGGCCAACATGGTTAATCCTGCTTTTCAGCTTGCTCTATGGGTCCCTGTTCAGCTGCCATTCCCACATGGGCTTTACATGGATTATGGAGATACAAACTCCCATATACCTGCCTGTGAGGGCAGCCCTTTAAGCGCTGAGCCTTCTCCAGCCCTACAATAAGACTGTAAACTGTATTATCTAACATTGCTTTCCTATCATGTTACAGACAGATGTGATGTAGCAGAGTGTCAAGACCACGCGTATCTAGGCGAAGGATACGCAGGTGTTCCGTGTGCATTTTCATAATAAAGACGCCGGGAGAGGTTGTTTTGAAAGGGTCTGTTATTGACTAGATTCAGTTGCCTGTCCTTCCTAATGTCAAATACCCATCTATTTCTAGTACTCATCTTTGTGTATAAATGCTATTCCTTTTTTGACAAAGGGAAATATCACTATAAAAATAGCTGATACCAGCTCTAGTCTAGTCTAGATAGGTACAAGACAAACATTTTCTAAGATAAAACATATCATAAAATAGCAAAATGCTGGAATTGGTGATGTTCACCTATAATCTCAGCACACAGGTGTGGAATATTATTTTAAGATGTGTTACATTTGTTTATGCTGTGGAACATGTTTTAATGATGAAAAGATGTGTTGTATTTTTTTGTTTGTTTTGTTTTTTCGAGGCAAAAAACAAGCACAGCTAAGGCCAGACATTCATAAGAAAGAATAAGCTCCCATGTATTTATTTATTTGGGCACTGGGTGGCAGGCCCCAAAGAGTAAAAAAATAATACCTACACACAGGAGATAATCAGGAGGAGAGTTCAAGGCTAACTTTGGAAATCAATATGGCAATTTCTCAGAAAATTAAGAATCAATCTACCTCCTCTTTCCTTTTGCGGCCATTACTGGATCATAGCCACCAAAATGAAGTTCAATCCCGTTGTGACTTCTGACTGAAGCAAGAACCGTAGATGGCATTTCGGTACACCTTCTCACGTTTGGAGGAAGATCATGTCATCCCCTTTCCAAAGAGCTGAGACAGAAGCACAGTGTTCGATCTATGCCCATTCAGGTTGTCCGAGGGCAGTACAAAGGCCAGCAGATTGGCAAAGTGGTCCAAGTGTACGGAAAGAAACACACATCTACACTGAACGGGTGCAGCGAGAAAGGCTAATGGCAAACTGTCCGTGTGGTCATCCACCCCAGCAAGGTGGTGATCACCAGGCTAAAGCTGGACAAGGACCACAAGAAGATCCTGGAAAGGAAAGCCAAATCTCAACAAGTAGGAAAGGAGAAGGGCAAATACAAGGAAGAAATGATGGAGAAGATGCAGGAGTAGGAGCGTCTCAGAGAGTTTTCATTAAAGACTGCTTAAGTAGCACAAAAAAAAAAAAAAAACCAGAATCAATCTACCTCAAGACCTAGCTATACCACTCCTGGGCATACACGCAAAGGATATTTAATCCTACCACAAGGACACTTACTCAACTATGTTCAAAGCAGCTTTATTCATAATAGTCAGAAACTTGAAACAACCTATATGCCCCTCATTGGAAGGATGGATAAAGAAAGTGTGGTACATTTATACAATGGAGTATTACTTAGCTGTTAAAAACAAAGACATCATGAAATTTGCAGGCTAATGGGTGGAACTACAAAAAAAATCATCCTAAGTTAGATAGCCCAGACCCAGAATGACAAACATGATATGTACTTACTTATAAGTAAACATCAGCTGTAAAGGAAAAATAATCATGCTACAGTTCACAGGCCTAGAGAGTCTAAGGAATGAGGGCTTCAGGGCGACACAAGGATCTCCCTGGGAAGGGAAATAGAACAGATTTCAAGAGTGGACTAAGGGTGGCTGAGGAACACGGAGCCTGAACTGGCCATCTTCTGTAACCAGGCAATGCCTCAAGGATTGGGACACCAACCCTGCCACAGAACCTCCGACCTACTGTTTGTCCTGCCTGCAGATTGTTCTGGGGCCAGAGCCTAGAAGCATCGTCATCAAGGAGACCAGAGAGACTTCATCCACACTGATGGGAGCGGATGCAGAGTCCAGCGGCCACAGATTAGTCAGAGCTCAGGGAGCCTGTGGGGGAGGGGAGGAAGAATGGAGGAATCCGAGAACAAGGACACCATGAGAACATGGCCCACAGAATCAACTGACTGGGTCTCGGGTCGGGTGGGGGGGCTCACAGAGATCAGGGAGCCTGCAGAGGTCTGGTCTAGGTCCCCCGCATGCATGCTAACTGCTGAGCAGCTCCATGTTCTTGTGGGATTCCCAACAGTGGGAACAGGGGCTCTCTATGACTTTTGCCTGCTTTAGGGACCCTTTTCCTCCTACTGGGTTGCTTCGTCCAGCCTTGAAGTGATGGTTTGTGCCTGGTCTTATTGTAGCATGTTATACAGTGTCTTGTTGATGTCCCTGGAAGGCCTGCTCTTTTCTGAGGGAAAATGGAAGGGGGAGGGGTGGGTCTGGGGAAGAGGGGAGGTTAAGGAGGGAAAAACTGCAGTCAGGATGGAAGAATTAAAAAAGAAAAGAATTCAAGGCTAGCTTCAATGACATAGGAAGTTCAAAGCTAGCATGGGCTATAAGGGACCAAGTCGTTTAAAAAAAGAAGGGGCAGGAAGGGAGGTATGATGTGAGGGGAGGGAGGGAGAGGAGGGGGAGAAAGGAAGGAGATAGCAAGACGGAGAGTTATCGTAGTCCCTTGCTTTGTTTCTGTCATCAACTACGACAGACCACACCATTTATCAACAACAGAAGACACTGTTTGGGTCATGGCTCTGGAGGACAGGAATTCCTAGATGGTATCAGCATCAGGCAAGGGGCTTCACACTGCACTATAACATGCAGAGAGCAAGAAACAGGAAAGGAGACAGAGAAACCCAGGATGCATCTGTGGAGAACGCAGCGGTCAGGTGACTCCATCAGTACACTCATGAGGGTTGTACCCCTGAGAGCGAATCGTCCCCATCATCTCCCAAGGGTCTGTCCTCTCAATAGCAGTTTAAGTAGCAGTTTAAATTTGACATGTGTGTCAAGGCAACATCCACACCATAGTATGTCAGAAGAACTTTGGCATCACCTTGGGGTATAGTAATAAGTGCGGCGGGGCTGCGTCCCCAGCACCCTGGCTGCCTGCTAACTTATGCCCGAAATAACAACACACAAACTGTATTCATTTAAACACTGCTTGGCCCATTTCTATCTAGCCTCTTCTAGGCTAATTCTCACATATTAATCTAGCCCATTTCTAATAATGTGTGTAAGCACCCCAAGGTGCACTTACCAGGAAGATTCTAGCCTAGGTCCATCCTGGGTCATTGGAGTTCATTGCGTCTGCCCAGGAGAGCGAAGCAGGGCCTCTGCTCCAAAGAGTAGAGCTGTTGAGTCTGAGCTCACTTCCTCTTCCTCCCAGCATCCTGTTCTGTTTACTCCTCCCACCTATGTTTTAACCTATCAGGGCCAAGGAGTTTCTTTATTGCTTAGCCAATGAAATCAACAGATTGATATATGACACTCCCACATCATGGGGGAGGTTCCCCATGACCAAAACAAAATAGATGAATCAAGCATCAAAATTTACTTCAGCTGCTAACACCTGAGTGCATGGCATGCGTTCAATTATGAGCTCATGGTGTGTAAACGGGAATCTTCACGGGCTCCCTTGAAGAGGCTAGGACACCAACACTATCTGAAAGTTGGCAAAAGGAAACATTTATCCAGCTTCTCCTGGGAATTGCATCTCTGGATAAAAAAGAGTTAACGTGGAAACCATGTTAGATTTTTTTGTTTGTTTTGTTTTCTGTCCCAGTGTCAAGCCCTGAGAGAGCCCCCGCATCTAGGATTTATTCTGGCTCTGGGTTTCCGTGGCTTTTGTCTCTCTAGTGAGGCAGTCAACTATGAAACTCCTAAGACAGGAGAGGATACCTGTGCTGTGAGGTCCCCAGATCCCACTCAGACCCCAGACTATAGGATGGTGTCACCCACATTCTAGGTGTGTGGTCCCCCAAATCCTCTCTGGAAATGCCTTCACAGACACACCCTAAGCAGTGCTGTACTGACATAGGTGCTGCTCAACTCAGTCAAGTGGATACAACTAATCACTAGAGAAAGGGTTTCTCCCACCCCCAGTGCCGAACCCAGGGCCTCAAGCAAGCCAGGCATGCGCTCTGCTACCCAGTTATATATAAACAGCCTGAAAAGTTTCTCTTTCTTTCTTTTTTTTTTTTTTTTGAGGCAGTATCTCAATATACAGCCTAGGTTAGTCCCCAACTCAAAATCCTCCTGCCTCTGTGTCCTGAGTGCTGGTATTCTAGCTGTGCACCACTATGCTCCAATTCTTATAGCTTCTTAAAATAATAACAACAACAACAACAACAATAATAATATAGCCTGGAGAGAAGGCTCAACAGTTACAAGCACTGGCTGTTCTTCCAGAGGACCAGGGTTCAGTTCCCAGCACCCACATGGGGCTCACAACTATCTGTCACCACAATTCCAGGGAATCCAGTGCCCTCTTCTGGCCTCCTTGAGTACAGCATGTACACTGCACACTGATAAGCATGCAGGTAAAACATACATACACATAAATAATAAAATTGTTAACTAATAATGGAAAAAGATGGAGAATCACAGAGAAACCCTGTCTCGAAAAACAAAACAAAACAAAACAAAAAAAGATGGAGAATCAAACAAGAGATTTTTATTTATTTTATTTTATTTTATTATTTATTTATTTATTTATTTATTTTGGTTTTTTGAGACAGGGTTTCTCTGTGGCTTTGGAGCCTGTCCTGGAACTAGCTCTGTAGACCAGGTTGGTCTCGAACTCACAGAGATCCACCTGCCTCTGCCTCCTGAGTGCTGGGATTAAAGGCGTGCGCCACCACCGCCTGGCACAAACAAGAGATTTTTAAAGATTAAGAGCTATTTCAGGAGCAAAGTAAGGATCTCATTTAGATTTTGATTAAAATAGACAATTTAGAAAATCCAACATAAAGAAAAAAGTGAACAGCTAGAACCTCAATATTAAAATCATTGTTTGGTTTGATTTGGCTTGATTTCTAAAATAAGTTCCTGCTCTGTAGCCTAAACTGGCCTCAAACTCATGATCCTCCTGCCTCTACCTCCTATTTACTGGTTAGGGTAAGTATTTATCTGACTTTTACTATTGTTTTTAATTTTATTTCTACCATTGCATGCATGTATGGTGTGAGAGCACACACATGTCAAGACACATGTAGAGGTCGGAGGACAAGCCTGTGGAGTTGATTCTCTCCTTCCACTTGACATCCAGGTATCAAACTCGGGTCACAAGGTTTTTGAAGCAAACACTACCACTGAACATCTTGCCAGCCCTATCATTAGTTTTTAAAGGCACAACAATGACACTATGATTTTGTTTTAATGAAGAATCCTTATTTTTATCAGTAATATACTGAAATATTTATTGATAAAATGACATAAATATGCACCAAATAAGTGGGAGAGGGGACAGACATATGGATGAAACAAGATTGGCCTGGGAGCGTTTACAGGCACAGAAGGTATCTGCAAGCAGCGAGATAGAAGGGTGGGTGTGTGTGTGTGTGATGACAATAATCTTCCTCCCACCCGCATCAGCATCAACTTTTAAAGACGGGTGCCATCACCCAGTGAGCTAGAAGCCTAAGGGAGCACTGACTGCAGCAGTTTCCCCCACGGGGTTTGCTATCGCACCTCCCAAACTAGCTAACATTCTCTTGTTAGTCCTGCCCTAGTTCAGTCTCTAGCCCCGGCAGACGGAACCACCACATGGCCTCCTTCCAAAACATTCTCCCTCACTACAACCAGTTCTTCGGCCCGAGATTACTGTCACCAACATTAATATTACCTCAAACATGAATCCAGTGTCGGTTAAGCTCCCTATGAAGGGGGTGATTATTCTATAGACACACATTCCGAGTGTCTCTAGACCCTGCACGAACTACAGAAAACCAATTCCCTCCAGGCATGGTAGCACATACTTGGAATCCCAGAACAAGAGGAGTCTTCATGAGTTCAAAGCCGGACCCAATCTCTACCCAAAAGATCACCAACAGGTTCTCAGTTAACTCTCACGTAATGTGAAGAGTATGTTTTTGCTGAGACCAAAGTCCCCGGAAAACTGAACAAGCATCGACCTACCCCACTGTCTCTGGAACATGACTCTATTCTCTCTCCAAACCTGCGCGATTCTTGCCCTTATACGGTGCACTAACCCCTCAAGCCCGCCTTGCACCGTCACAGCCTCCACCGCCGCGCTCCGTGCCGCCGCGAGGTGGCAGGAGACCCACGGCTGCACGCCTGGAGACCGCCGCCGGGATGCAGTGACGTCACGCAACCCCGGCGCTGATTGGCTAGTTCCCCGACGACCTTGAGGGGGAGGAGCCCGTGGCCGAGCCGGAAACGCGGGGCGCAGCGAAAGCCACGTCCCGAGACTGGGCGTGCGCACGCCGAGGAGCCCAACCGCTGTGGCTGCCTCAGCACCTCCTCCCCTGGCCTGAGGGGGCACAGTCGCTGCTCCGCGACCCGGGGCGCCACCTGCTGAAGGGGTCACACGGCCGCGGGCTGGGCTATCGCGAGGGGAGGAGTCACCTTGAGAGGAGGGACCCAGTGGCGAGCGGAGAGCCCCGGAGAGGGCTCGCTTAGCGAGAGGAACATAAAGAAGAGGGGTGCAGCGCCGAGGGGCTCGGGGCACACACGGAGGTGGCAGTGTCATCCCCAGGAAAGGTCCCCCTGAAGGACAGCGGCCTCCGAGGGGCGGGATCTCGCCGAGGGGTGGGCTCTGGCGGAGGGAGGGGCTCCCCTGCAGGTGGAGGCTGCTCTTAGGAAAGGGTCATTAGGACAAAGAAGTAAGGGGGTGGTCAGCGGCAGGAACCCCGGAATCTGAACTTCCCTTAGGGGAATCGGGATGGAGTGAGGAGGGGTCGGGGCAGGGCTGGGATGCGGCCAGAGGCTCCCTACACCGCCGACCACGGCCGCCCGAAAGGACAGGTGTTAGCGAGCCCCGAGATTAAGGGTGTCGGGGTCCGAAGACCCTAAAAATGGGCAGTCGGGGTGGAACGCAGGCCAGGCAGGCAGCGGGCTTGATCGGTGCAGCCCAGGGCGGAGGTGGCCCCACGCCCACCGTCCACCCCTAAGACCCCCGTTCTTCACGCCCGGCCTACGCGCGGGTGCGCACCTGAGGGGGCGTGGCCGGGCCGCAGCCCGGGCTCCAAGGAGTTAAACGCTAACCGGGCCCAGCCCCGCCCCGGGCAGGCCGCGCAGCCTGAGCCCGGCGGCGAAGCGGAGCAGCAGCCGCCCGCCCGCCTCCGCCCGCGGGGAGCCCGCCCGCCGGCGCCCCGGAGCGCCGCCGCCGCCCGGCCCAGGCCCAGGCCCAGGCCCCGTGCAGAGCGGAGAGCCGCGGCGTCCCACCGGGCCCAGCTCGCCGGCGCGGCGGGGGCGGGCCCAGGACCTTCGGCAGGTCCTCCGTCCTCCGGGCGGGAGCGGGAGTCCCGGCACCCGGGATCGGACTGGGCCGGCGCCCATGGCGAGCGCGGCCTGCCCGGGTCCCGGGGACCCGGCCATGTGAAGCAGGCCCGGGCTGGGGGCCCGGCCATGGCCGGAGAACGGCCCCCACTGCGGGGCCCCGGGCCGGGAGAGGCGCCGGGGGAGGGGCCGGGGGGCGCAGGCGGAGGCCCGGGCAGGGGCCGGCCCTCCTCCTACCGGGCCCTCCGCAGCGCCGTGTCCAGCCTGGCGCGTGTGGACGATTTCGACTGCGCAGAGAAGATCGGGGCCGGTTTCTTCTCTGAGGTCTATAAGGTAGGACCCACAGACGAGAGGGTAGAGGGGCGGGACCGAGCCTTCGACGGGATGCTAGAACTTGGAGGCCCAGAGCCTGGGTTAGAGATCCAGTATTTGAGCTAGCCACCCAACTTGCCGGGCACACACCGATCCTTGCCGCCCCCAGGTTCGGCACCGACAGTCGGGGCAAGTCATGGTGCTGAAGATGAACAAGCTCCCCAGTAACCGGAGCAACACGCTAAGGGAGGTGCAGCTGATGAACCGGCTCCGGCACCCTAACATCCTCAGGTTAGGGTGAATGGCCTAGCCTCTTACTGGGCAGCTTGCTGGGCAGGAGGGAAAAGGAAAGGTCCCTCGGAAAAGGAGGGAGATGCGGTGGAGCCCAGGCTCTCACAGCCTACCCCTTCTATCCTCTCCATCGTCTTTCAGGTTCATGGGGGTCTGTGTGCACCAGGGGCAGCTGCACGCTCTTACGGAGGTAAGCAACTAGGCGTAGGCCAAGAAAGGCACCACACCTCCAAGTGGAAGTGTCAGAGGGCTTGGTGGATCTGCGGGGAGATTAAATAGGAGCCACCCGGGACCTTGGGACCTCCTCCAACAGGAGGCTTCCTGAACTTCCTTTGGGCACACCACATACCGGAATCCTCAGCTAGTCATTCCGTGTATCCCTGAGAACAGTGCCTGACCCGTAGAGCTTTCTGCTGTGATGGAGATATTTTGTATCTGTGCCCACACAGGAGCCACCAGCCACACATGGGCCTGGCTAAAGCAAGAGCTACTGTGGCGGAATATCTGATTTATTTAAATGCACTAGCTGGCATAGCTAGCTGCACATCGTGCTACAGTGATGGACAGGGTGGCAGCCTAGGCTCCAAGTGGGAACCTTAGAGCACAGGCTGGCTCTTCTCACCTTTGTGAGTGTCACCTGGCTCATGAGTGGCAGACATAGAATACAGATTGACGCCTTGACAGTCATTCCTCTTCTCTTTTCCCTACGTCCCCAGTATATGAATGGGGGCACCCTTGAACAGCTGCTGAGCTCCCCAGAACCCCTATCTTGGCCAGTCAGGCTCCACCTAGCACTGGACATTGCTCAAGGCCTACGGTACCTACATGCCAAAGGTGTGTTTCACCGAGACCTCACATCCAAGGTAGGCTGGCCAAGGTGGGCGGGAAAATGAAAGAGGGTTTGTGCCTATGAAGCCGTGATCGGCCTGTGGATGTTGGCATCTGGGGTAGTAGATATGCTCGGATGTTGGGGTGACAGGGTGCTGGAAATTGTTAAAGAACAGGGGGGCTAGGAGTGCTCTGAGGAACGAGGTGTCACACCGAATGTTGAGTGACGTCGCAATAATGGGGTGCGTTGGAGAACTGGGAGGGAAGGTTGAGGTGAGGACACTGGGCTTTGGGTATACACTGGGAGACCAGAGAGCAGATGATGGGTGTGTGAGGATGCCTATGTGTGTGTCAGAACTGTCTGGTCCGAAGGGAAGACCGAGGCTTCACAGCTGTCGTGGGTGACTTCGGACTGGCTGAAAAGATTCCTGTGTATAGGTGAGGTGAATGCCCTTCATACGCCAAGCCTCCCAGGGATCCCCTATACAGTGACATTTTCTGTGGGTGGGGAGAGGGCTCACCCCATCCTCTTTTCCTGGGGGGAGATATCTGAACAGGAGGTTCTGACTGCCCTGCTTCTGCAGGGAAGGGGCAAGGAAGGAGCCGTTGGCTGTGGTGGGCTCCCCGTACTGGATGGCTCCAGAGGTGTTGCGGGGAGAGCTGTATGATGAAAAGGTAAGAGCCCTTGAGTAGAGCCCTATCCAACAACAGCCTACTAAATACTCAGGACCTCCCCCTTCTCCATATCCCTCACTGTCACCCTTCCAACACAAGATAACTGCCAGCTCCGCCCCCTGGCATGGCCCATCTCCCACCTCCAGGCTGACGTCTTCGCCTTTGGGATTGTCCTCTGTGAACTCATTGCCCGAGTACCTGCGGACCCTGACTACCTGCCCCGCACTGAGGTGAAGTAACCTCCACACTAGGTGCCTCATAACCAAGGAGGGCTCCCTGGAGGCTGACGTCCTCACAGGGGGCACAGACCGACAAGGAAGGCTAACTTGGCAGTTCCTCCTCTGTCCCCACAGAACTTTGGCCTGGATGTGCCTGCTTTTCGAACACTGGTGGGAAATGACTGCCCGCTGCCTTTCCTGCTTCTGGCCATCCACTGCTGCAGCGTAAGCTTCCCGCCCCACCCCACCCCACCCCATCCCTCCCCATCCATGAGTTGTCTTCTAAGTTCTGGGTGAGAAGGGGAGGGGAACTTCCCCTCTTCCTGAGCCTTGAGTGGAGCTGCCCTGTCTTTACCCATCAGATGGAACCCAGCACCCGTGCCCCTTTTACTGAGATCACCCAGCACCTGGAGCAGATCCTGGAGCAGCTGCCTGAGCCTGCTCCCCTCTCCAAGACGCCCCTCACTAAGGCTCCCTTGACGTACAATCAGGGTAAGTGAGCATGACCGTACCCAACAGAAGTCTGCCTCTCCTGAGAATCAGTTGTCTGGAGGAGGCTGAGGGGATCTACTGGTTTTGGAAAGACTTGGAGTCAGGTGAAGTGGGGTAGGATGGAGAGGCTTCTCAACCCAAGGGAGCAGAGGTAGGGAAGAAAAAGTAGAAAGATAGCTGGGGGAGGGGCTGCTGGTCATCAGGTCAAGGCGCTTGCATAAGGACCCGAGTCCTGAAAGTCTCCTCTGACCTCTGACCTCCACCTCCAGCTCCATCATCCTATGGTTCACACAGGAGTACACATAGACATGACTACATCTTTTTTTTTTCCCTAAGGAAAATGGTAGCTGGAAATAGCAGCCCTCCCTTCCAGAGCACCTGTAGGGCACCCTCTCTCAGCTCTTGCCCCACCACCTTCCTAGGAAATAAGGGCCTCAATCTTTGTGAGCAGATGCAGAAAACAGGGTCACACACCTACCTTTCTTTCTACAGGGTCTGTTTCAAGAGGAGGTCCCTCTGCCACACTTCCCAGGCCAGACCCCCGGCTCTCCCGCAGCCGGTCAGACCTCTTCCTGCCACCTTCACCAGAGTCACCTCCCAGTTGGGGGGACAATCTAACACGAGTCAACCCCTTCTCACTGCGGGAAGACCTCAGGGGTGGCAAGATCAAACTCCTGGACACACCCTGCAAGCCGGCCACTCCACTGCCCCTGGTACCGCCATCACCACTGACCTCTACCCAGCTGCCCTTGGTGACTACTCCAGAGACCTTGGTCCAGCCTGAGACCCCTGCCCGCCGCTGTCGCTCACTACCTTCATCCCCTGAGCTCCCCCGGCGGATGGAGACTGCACTGCCAGGTCCTGGCCCTTCCCCCGTGGGCCCCTCGGCTGAAGAAAAGATGGAGTGTGAGGGCAGCAGCCCCGAGCCAGAGCCCCCAGGGCCAGCTCCCCAGCTGCCTCTGGCTGTGGCCACTGACAACTTCATCAGTACTTGTTCTTCAGCCTCTCAACCCTGGTCTCCCAGATCAGGACCTCCCCTCAATAATAACCCCCCTGCCGTGGTGGTCAGTTCTCCGCAAGGATGGACTGGGGAGCCCTGGAACCGAGCACAGCATAGCCTTCCCCGGGCAGCAGCCCTGGAGCGGACAGAACCCTCGCCACCCCCATCAGCTCCTCGGGAGCCCGAGGAGGGCCTGCCCTGCCCTGGCTGCTGCCTTGGCCCCTTCAGCTTTGGCTTCCTATCCATGTGCCCCCGCCCCACCCCAGCTGTTGCCCGCTACCGCAACCTGAACTGTGAGGCGGGCAGTCTTCTCTGCCACCGAGGGCACCATGCCAAGCCACCCACACCCAGCCTGCAGCTGCCTGGGGCACGCTCTTAGCAGTGAGGCCTGCGACCTCAGGCTTCCAGTCTTGGCCTTCAGGATAGCCTGTAAGGACAGAGTGCACTTGCTGGACAATGCCAGCCCCAGATGGGCTGACTGGCTCTTCTCCCCGTCTAGGGGAGCCTCAGCATGGTCCCAATGGACAGAGCACTTCCTATCTGACCCCTGGGTCGCCTTCCCATGGGGATCACTGAACTAGACACAGCATTGCTGACACACAAGACTAACACGTGCAAATTATTTAAAAATATTTCAATAAAACTGCCTGGCTGGCTCCGGGCCATCCATCCACTCAGCGGTTCGCCCTCCTCCCCTGACCCATCTCCGGTTTGGGAAGTTCTTAAGGGAGGCCAAGTCCACTCCCTTCCCAGGAATAGTCCAGTTTCTGGGTGACTTTGAAGCAGGCAGCAGGTTGCCAGGCCAGGATCAGCCCTCAGCTGAGCATGTCCGAGAGTGAGGGAATGCTTGAGGAATCGCAGGCCACAGGTTAAGGATGTAGGTCACAAGCTCTTGTTCCTGTGTTTGGAAAAATAAAGCAGCAGCGAGCTCTAGGTGACTGTCACTAACCCTCGTCCAGTTCACCCTGTCTTCCCGCTCCCCTGTTCACGATGTACCTGTCCCCTTTCCCTGCCTAGCCTGGCCCTACATAAGCAGACTGAGCCACTGGAGATTGTGCATGTGACAAATTTGGGAACAGATTTTCCCTGTCCTCTGGGCCTCTGAACCCCATGCACACAACTATGCCCGCTCTCCATCCCTCGTGCTTACCTGTTTCAGTGCAGGTGATCCCCGTCAGGAAACCGGAAAGCTTCCAGCTCACAAATGCAAGGATAAGAGTCTGTACACTGTGAGGAAGATCTTTGCCATGATTCACGCCATTTCTCTATCTTCCTACAATATGAGCTTTGAGAATAAGATACAGACGATCTGTAAGATTGTATAGGATACGGCAAGTAGAATTGGGATACACTCTGATCCCCTCCTTTCCCCTTATTCTTTGTTCAGGTTTCTGAACTTCAGCTCAAACAGCCCTTAAGGCCATGGAAGAAAGCTTACCAAAGTCATAAAAGATGAAAACTCCACCTAAGGAGATGGGTTCACTGGCGTATGCCTTTAATGCCTTAAACCCAGTAGACAGGCAGGCCACACTACACAGTAAGACAGGACCGTCTCAAAATCATGGGAAGTGAAGTAGCCACAGCGCCTCATTCTGCTGCTCTCTGCTTGGGGCAGTTCTAGTGGCCCAGTTGGCGTGGGCTAAGCAAGCGCAGCTGCAGTTTGGGCAGCTTGTCAAGGCTTAGAGAGTTCAAGGTCAGCAGCACTTCTCACTGGCTGTGACAGATGACACAGACCTCAACCTAGTAATTCCTTTTTTGTTTTGGGTTTTGTTTTGTTTTTCAAGACAGGGTTTCTCTGTGGCTTTGGAGCCTGTCCTGGAACTTGTTCTGTGGACCAGGCTGGCCTCAAACTCACAGAGATCCACTTGTCTCTGCCTCCCAAATGCTGGTATTAAAAGGCATGCACCACCACCGCCTGGCTGTTTTTGTTTTTTTTTGAGAAGGGGAGTCTTGCTGTGTGGCACAGGCTGGCCTTAACTCCCAGTCCTACCTCAACCTCCTAGGTGCTAGGATTACAGGAATATGNCTGGAACTAGCTATGTAGACCAGGCTGGTCTCGAACTCACAGAGATCCGCCTGCCTCTGCCTCCCGAGTGCTGGGATTAAAGGCGTGCGCCACCATTGCCCGGCCTAAATGCTGGTATTAAAAGGTGTGCGCCACCACCGCCTGGCTGTTTTTGTTTTTTTGAGAAGGGGAGTCTTGCTGTGTGGCACAGGCTGGCCTTAACTCCCAGTCCTACCTCAACCTCCTAGGTGCTAGGATTACAGGAATATGCCATTGCAACTTTCTTAAGTATGTGCTAGAGCCCTCCAGGTGCTGTGGGTGGAATGTGGAATAAGAGTGCAGGTCGATGCGAAGACTTAGCAGGTCAAGGCACTAAGCCCAGTGACCCAAGAGTAGTCCCTGAGGACCACATGGCAGGAGAGAACTGACTCCTGCCTGCCACATGGCACCCCTCCTCAACACACTTTTTTTTTTTTAATCAAGACATCTTAAACATTTAAGTAGAAGAAACAAATTACAACGCTGATTTGTGGAAGAGTTTTGGAAGCAGGGCTTAGGGAAGAAATATTACAGCTTTATGAGAGACTGACAATACCCCCAAATCTTCCCAACTTACCTGTAGTATCCTACAGTATATTTTGGATGCTGGATCCAATATGACTTTGAATCAGTTAGCAACTTCCCTAAGCCATTGGGCAGAGAGACCTGAGGGGATTCAGAGAGGTGTGTGAAAAGTAGTGAGAATGTGGAACAAAATGGGGACACGCTAGGAGGCCTATGAGTTTACTTAGCAAGAGACCTTGCCCATTTAGTACATGAATTAATTGCTCCTGATCCTTGCAGGGCTGCCAGATACAGCCCACTCTCCATTTCGCCTCTCAGCTGAGTAAGAATCTGGAATGGAGTCAGTCTGAACTTCAGGTCTCAGGCAATGGAGCGTCCGGGTCTGGCCCCACTCCCCTGAGAGGCAAGGGCAGGCCAGCACGGCACACACTAAAGTTGAGACGGCTCAGGATTCACCTCTCACCAGTGCTAAGCAATAGGAGCCATGGGACAACACAAGACTGAGAGGATGCCGAAGCCAGTGGCTCATCTCCTGGCAAATGGTGTGACTGTCCATATCTGTCACGGGGAAGCAATGCAAACCATGGCATGTGGCAGCCGTGCACTGACTCAATGACACACCTCCCTTTACCTGTGGCACCCACTTCAGGATATGGAGAAGGGCATACTCACTTGATAAGGATACTTATCCGGTTCTTTGACTAAAGTAGCCAGTTGGGAGGACAGAGATGTGCAGTATTTCTGGCTCTCTTGCCAACTCCTGAGAGTGTGTGAGATGTAAAAGCATCTTCCCTCGTGCTGTGTCCATCCCAGTGGACAGCAGGTGTCTACAAAGCAGAAGGAATATGACAACCACACTTGGAGTAAGGTGACCAGTTGGTCAGCTGGTTGCTAACAGTAGTCCCTCAGGTCTACTCTGATATCTTCATCAACTTTAGCCCTTCATCTTTGCAAGCTTTTTGCCTTTTCGGGAAATGTTGTACTTCTTAATGATATAGGAAGCTTATTTTAATGGAGCCTGTCCCTGGCTTCTGAAAGGTTCAAATCTGCCCTAACACTGGCCAACCTTGCCTGGGCTTCCACATTGGTCAAAGGACTCTCATTCACTCACTCATTCATTCATTCATTCATTCATTCATTCCATTTACTCCTTAACACATCTCCACTGCACATTCAAAGTTTTGCCTCACTCCTCAGCCCCTGGCAACATCTCTTGCCACAACTCCCATAAGCAGACAGACTTGGTTCTCCTTTTTCTGAAGTTATGAACACTATCCATTTTCATATTTCCACTTAAAGACACTGTTGATTTCCAGGATAACTTTAAAGGATAAACATCCTCCTTAACATCCCACACTCCACTCTGCTCTTGACCCCAGTCACCTTTCCTATTTCCATTTGATCCATCAGTCCTCACTCCATCACTCAGGAAGCGTTCCCTATTCCCCCCTCTCCTATCTACATTTTCTCATGTCTCCATCACACTTCCCCTATTGATCTGCTTTGTGACTTAAAGTTTTTTTGATTTGGTGTGACTGACTTGAAGAGAGTGAGAGCCTAGGCTGGGCTCAAATTCCTCATCCTCTTGCCTTAGCTTCCTAAATGCTGAAGTTACGTGTGTGGTCACCATGTCTGACTCAGGATTCTTTTGTTACATTATGAGGAAGAGAAAAATAATGTTGGATTTTGCATAGAGGAGTTTTGCTCTCTCTGTCCACATCTCATGTCTGTGCACGTACTGGAGTGTGTTATCCATCACTGCTTAGATAACTAATTAGAATGGCATGGCCTGGCTGGGACAGCATGGTCAGATTTATGGGTTTTTAGGATTTCCCCAGAAACCTGAATGTGGTGGCTTCAACAGAATGGCTCTCATAGGCGCATATATTTGAGTGTTTGGTCCCCAGTTGGTGGGACTGTTTGGGAAGGACTAGGAGGTGTGGCCTGTGGAAGGAGGTGTGTCAGTGGAGGCAGGCTTTGATAGGCTTCAGAAGACTCCTGCTCCCACGTGCTCTCTCTGTCTCCCACTTGAGAAGGAAGCTATGAGCTCTTAGCTGTTCCTGTTGCCGTGTGTTTGCTCTGCCATCATGGACTCTGACCTGCTGAAACCACAGACCCAAGGTTGCCTTGGTCTTGGTGTTTAGTCACAGCGGTAGAAAAGTCACTAAGACCCCAAGTGAGTACCAGGTGAGTGGCCGCCATTCTATCTGACCTGCCTTGGAAAGCATGTCAGAGAATCCCCCACAGAAAGCTGGCTATAGTCATATTGATGCACTCTGGGTTTGATTGAGAGATCCTGCCTCAATGAATAAAGTAGACGAGCAATCAAGGATGAATCTCTGCATCGACCTGTGCACACACAAATGCATGCATACATATACACATGCAACACAGACACACGAAAGTGGACAAGGGGGGAATTGGTGCCATTGTGAAGATTGTCCTCCTTTGGGTCAGGTGAGGGTAGTTAAGAAGAACACCCAGCGGTGGCAGTTGTCCTAAAAAGATCGGGATCTGCAGAACACAAATGCCCAGGTGGAATTGGTGGAACCCTTCTGATGAGCTGATGGTGGTGGCACCCACTGAACATGCTGGAAAAGCAGTGGGGAAGGAGTCTCTGTGGAAAACACGCTGGCTGCTGCAGAGCAGAGCCTCAGTGGCACCAAGATGTCATTTGTACAATGGGTCACACCTGATGTACGCCTAGACTACGTTGTCAGCTGGATTCATCCAGGGTTGAGTTTTTAATCAGTCTAGTGTACCAGAACCAGGGAACAAAAGAGTAAGTGATTGGGTAATAGACCCTGGAACCAAAGACAGATAGGGAGAGAAGCAAGGGTAAGAGAGGGCTGTTGGGAGGAAAGAAAACTGGGACTCCACAGGCTGGATGCCTTGGGGAGGCTGGAGAAGTGTAGAGAGCCCTGTTGGGCTGGGTAGCTGCAACCAGAGTAGAGGTCTACATCCAGCTGTGGACAGATGAGCACCATGGTATGTCAAGGTCTGAAGTGTAGCTATGGGAATGGCGAGGGACTGAAAGTCATGGAAAATAAGACGGTTAAGGAGAGGGGCTGGGAGATGGCTCAGCAGCTAATGTGTTTGCCACAAAAGCGTGAGGACTTTAGTTAAGGTACCCAGCACCCATAGGAAAAGCAGAGCTGATCACGGCCGTGCTCGGGGTTGAGTGGAGAGATTCTATCTCAGAAACTAATCTGCAATGGCACACACAGGGGTGGGGAGGGGAGAGGAAGAGAAAAGGCACCCGCGAATGCACGCTCTCACGCACGCACACAGAACAGGAGCGTACGGAAATGAGAGCCATGCGTGTGTGCCTGCAATCTTGCTGTCTCAGTTTGGCGGAAGCATCTAGATGCCTCTGGGTCAGAAAGCGATTTGGACAATGTGATACGGGATCTATGGAGAGTACTTCTTTCCCCGCTACATGATCCACCATAGAGCTGAGTGCATTCCCCCTAAACCCAGCGTTCAGCTTGGTCCTTCTCAATAACCAAGTCACGGCCCAGATCAGTCCCTGCTCTGGCTCACAGCCCCTTTCCTGAACTACTCACTGAGCTCTGGGCGGACCGGCCACTAGAGACTCCCGGATTCAGTCCGTCCCTCACAGGCCATCCGCCCCACCTCCCTGATCCCAGAGCAGATACCTGAGGAACAGGAAAGAGTGCGCCTCAGTGTGTCCTGCATGTTGACCAGCCTCTGGTTCAAGTTCCTCCTCTGCTGCTCCTCCCTTTCCAAGTTCTCCTTGGTCCTCTGTCCCTCAGACTGGCAGGCCTGTAGCTGCTGCTCCGTGACCTCATGGATCTTCTGCTTCTCCTGTAAAGCGTCCTGACTCAGGGACAGCTCTGTCCGAGACTCCTGCAGATCCCCCTCCTTCTGCTCCAGCTGATCTGTCTTCTGCTTGAGCTGCTGCTGCAAGCTACTGTTGGTGGCTTCCAAAATCCTGGTTACCTGCTGGAATTGCTGAGACACCTGCAGATCTGGTTGGCCATAGAAGAGACTGGTTGGGTGTAGCAACGCACACCCGTATCCCTGCCTAGGGAAGGCTGAGATAGTAGGATAGCAAGTTCGAGGCCAGCCTGGGCTACATATGAAGAACCTCGGCCGGGGAGAAGGGAGACTGAGGATACGTCTTCCAGCTGGTACTCTAAGACTGTAGTATCAACCTTTTCTGCTTCTTGTAACTTCTTGTATAATGTGCTGAATTTAAGATCTAGGTGGCCAGTGTTTAAGGAACTCCTAACCGGGTAAGGATAATTTAGGAACGCAGGACACTCCAGGACAGACCTGGCTGGAAACCAGACCCAAAAGCCAAGGATGTCGGGACAGTGTCTTTGAGCCTTCCCCATGAAAGACCAAGTAGGGGGAGAGAAGAGATGTTTAGAATGAGTGGGGAGTGGGGTACCCATACTCACAGCGAACTCCTAGGCAGATGGCAGCCACCCCTAACATCAGACAGGCCAGGACAAGGCCCAGCAAGAAGTATTGCAAGCCGACTGCGTGACCTTAAGGGACAGGGGTGAGAGGCAGTCAGTCTCAGGGCAGAATATACTCATTGAGATGCGGAGAGGATGGGAAGCACTCCTAAAGTGGGCTTTGTCAGTCAGGGAATAAGAGCTGGGGATCGTAACTGGTGAAAAGGATTGAGGGGGCGTTACCTGACAGAAGGAGCTAAATTTCATACAGGGAAAGGGACCTGGAGTCATGTGACTAGGGGCCATCCCAGGGACTTGTGATACGGATTGACTCCAGGTGCAAACAACCACTAGAGAGATGAGGTAAGTTGTGGAGTGGCTGAGCTGTCGTTGAAGTCCCAAAGGCTCATTTCCAGAAAGAGTAACACAGGGCTTAAGCCAGCCCCACCCCTCCGGGATGAAGTTTGGCATCTCTGCCCGGCATCCGCGGGTGCGCTGCGGGGGTTGGGTGGGGGTGGGGATACGCACAACGGGAAATCCACCCTACAGCGGGCGACTTCACGGGGCTCCAGGATGCAGCTGGCTGCTCTGACCTGACGCCTGCCGAAGGGGAGCGTCCGAAGTGAGGGTGGAAAGTCCCGGTAACCTCCCTTCTCCCCAGTATCACACCATGCTGCGACCTTGGCCTGTCCTGGACTAAGTGCAGTGGGACAATCACTCTCGGTACTTCCTCTGCCGCCCTTGGACTCATGTCTCTGTCGCCTTTGTTGGTTTTGCGGATGGACCCTGCTCAGCTCCTGCTTGCTCCTCACAACTGCCACACAGGGAGGTCCTCACCCGGAAGCCCTTTTTGCATTGCCTTCGTCACACTCCCCTCATATCCCTCATTTCTCTCCTGGGTCCTCCTTTCCTTATCATTTCCTCAGGGTCGTGACTCTCATTCCTCTTCCCACTCTTGTTCCCCACCCATCTCGCACCCTGCTGCCCTGATCCTGCCCCCAGTTTACCGCGAGGACCCTCCTGGGACCATTCATCTTGCCCCTGGCTCTCAGAGAACTTGTCCTCAAGAAGGGCCCTGCCACTTTCTCCAAGACTGCTCTTCACTCCCCAGATAAAGGCGCCCATCCTAAACACATCCCTGGGCCTCCATACCTGCTTTGTCCACTAGGGTAGAGGAAGCCAAGCCTGATGCCCCTCCTGGGACTGGAGACACTTGCACATTCTCGTAGGTGAGTTCTCCATCCTCGTAAGCCTCACAGTCTGAAGAGGAAAGGTCCCAAGAAGGGGTCAGGAATGAGGTCTGGAATGGAGGTGAAGTATGAAGGAGGGCAGCGATGTGCAGGACTTACCCTGTCCGAGGTGATTAGAGACGCTGTTCTTCAAGGGCACCTTCACAAAGCGCAGGTCTGCGTAGGTGATGGCGTCAGCCATGGCATTTGGCGCTTCTGCCAAAGGTCTTTCAGCTAATCCACTGGCCCACACCTCCCTGGCCACTCTCCTCCCTCAGGCATTGAGTTCTCTCTGTGACTGTAAGGCTCAGTGCTTTGCAGTGTGACCCCAAACCAAAAAAGAGGAAGGCTTCTGGCAGATGGACTCAACGAAGCAGAAGAGATCCCCGGGTTGAAGCCAGAGGGACACTGAGGGACACAGAGGGCCACGAAGAGCCACGGAGGTCCATGGAGGTCCAAAACACAGGTGTTGAAGCTAGCCTGGACCTGTGTTCAGCCAGCGCCCCTCCCCATATATCCTAGACTCACTTTGGCCTCCACAGTACTTAAGATCCACACAGTCCTGTATGTTCCCTGGTTGGCCACTCCCCTCCTGACCAGTCCTGTATGTTCCCTGGTTGGCCACTCCCCTCCTGACCGCCATTTACTGAGATCTATCAATGTATACTTGGGACTCCTTTGTTCTCAGCTGACCCAGGGCACGTCCCCATCTCTGCTCCAGATTGCAGCTTCATCCTCAACCATCAGTTTGCGGGTTCCTACCCTGGAACCTTAGCTCCTCCTCGTTCTGGGGGTTCCAGTAGGCCCATGACTTAGCAGGATGGGGTGCTTAGTTTGGTAGCTTACATAAGGCTTGTGTCTCCCGTTTAGCATGGAGCACTTCTGGGGTGAGCCTAACTCCTCTCCTGCTTGCTGAACCTAGAAACCATTCCTGGGAGTGTGACGGCTTGTTTGAGGACACAAGCGAGCCAGGAACACCCACCCTGGTTTTCCTCTGTGAACACCCAGATTCCCCACTTCACACCTTTTTCCTGCTGTCTTCCTGATCACACCTGTGACCAGGTGTCTGCTTCCGTCCTTCCCTTTACAATCTGTGGCATCCTCTGTGTCCCCACATCAGAGCCACATCAGGGTTCAGTGTCCACTCGGCAGTGGTTCAGGAGCAGCTCTGGGCTGCGTTGAAGGGCTAACCTGGAGCAACCTTAGTCCACCCATCCCTTCTAGGAGGGATGAAAGGAAACTGTGGGCGTGGATTTCAAGAAGGGATGCGGTGGGTTGGAGAGATAGCTCAGTGGTTAAGAATAATGGTTCCATTCCCAGCACCCACATGGCCATTCACAATCATCTGTGACCCCCTCAGTCATCGGCCCGGCACATAGTATACAGACATGCATACAAGCAAAACACTCATATACATAAAAACAAAATAAAACTTAAAAAAGAAAAAGGGGTGGCCATGGTTTCCTAGGCTGAAGTGAGGCAAAGAAATGCCCCCTTGTTGTAATTCTTCCGTTAGAGGTCCTGGGGTCTGGAGGTGTAGCTCCATGGAACACGGGAGTATGATGGTCTGGCCTCACTTCCCAGCGCACACACACACGCATACAGTCCAAACATTGCCCCCTCGTTCATCCCCAGAGAACATGGCCTCTTGAGTCAAGTGTTGGGACACACCTTCAATCTTAGAAATCAGGAGGCAGAGGCAGGCACAGATGTAGCCTGTGAGCCAGAGGCCAGCCTGGTCTACACCATGAGTTCCAGGCTGGCCAGGGTTATATAGTGAGACCCTATTTCAGAGAGAGAGAGAGACAAAGACAGAGACAGAGGAAGACACACAAAGAAATAGAGACCCAGAGCGAGCAGAGGCGTTTGCAGAGGAGACCACCATGTACGAAATTGTTGTAGGTGAAGGAGGTCTGGCTGACAGTGGGGCTGAGCGGAGCAGCGCCCTCAGGGCCTATCTAATGTTCTCTTACTGCAATATAGCCTGTTAAAGGAATCCCAAAAGGCCTTCATGGTTGGGGGGGCGGGGGTTGGAACCGGATGAGGTATGAAGGTGAGAAAACCCCACCCCCTTTTGGGCCACATCCGCCCCGCCCCACCCCCACCAGCTGTCCTGCAGCTGTGGGTAGGAAGAAAGAAAAGGTGAAGTTCCTCACCACGTGCTACCCGCTCACGTGACTGGTGGTGTTGGGCGGGGCCAGGTGATGTTGGGAGAGTTTTCTTGCAGTAAGTAGCCTGGTGGAGCCTGCCTGCCCCAGAGAAAGTGTGGTCCCTGGGGCGGAAGGGCAAATACACTGTCACCTGAGCAAAGCGTCTCAGGAGAGGCAGTACGTCTGTGTGTGCTCGCGTGTGCACAGCCCGCCCCCACCCCGCACTTTGTGGCCTGTTAGGGGTGTCTGTGGGAGGGGTGGAGTGTCTGTGTCAAAGCCACCCCTGGAGAATGAAACAATGAAACACAATGCGTCCTGTGGGCTGAGGTGACTGGTGTGAGCTGTCATCTTTAAGAGAGCCTCTTCAGAAAAGCCATCATAGGTCAAGATAGCAGGTTTTACAAGTACTTCCTTTTTGAGATTCGTTTGTGTTTTAAGGGTTCTCTGCAACAGCTGTTAACGGTCCCTGCCTGCTTGACTTAAGTTTCCAGCACCTTCCTCCAGGCAGCATCTCAGGTCCTCCCCCAGATACTGGCAGCGGACTGGTGACTCCCTGGGGGCCTGTGGGGGCGTGTGAGAGTGAGTGGGAGGGTTCAGAGCAGCTGGTGTCGGGAATGGGTGGGGACAGTTAGGGCTCTGCATCTGTGGTACACATGTGGGCATGGACAGGGCCAGTGACTCTAGAACACTGGCGTGGACTGCAGACGGTGTCTCAGTTTCCAGAACCCCGTTACACAGGTGAACATGACCTGTCCAGCCTGGCTTCTAATTTGCACCGGAAACAGCATCAGGGACCCTCAAGCCGTTACCAAGAAAGTGTCACTGAGCTGGAGCTGGGCTGAGGGGTGCAGCTCACCTGCATGGCCTTAGAGTCTTCATAGGACGTGGTCTGAGCTTTGCTCCTCCTTAGCCCTTTGGTGATGGTGAACCATCTCTTCACATTCTGCAATCCCGTCCGTCTTAGGCCAGCTTGTAGTGCAAGGATGAGATGGTACACATCCTGAGGATGCTCAGGAGAGCAGCTGTCTGTACACCTTGATCAACTTCTAAGTGGTCTTGTATTTTACAGAGGGGAAATTGATGGGGGGGATACAATTCTCGCCTTTCCTGGGTGTGTATGAAAGTCTGCAGTATTGGCATTCATATTACCTTTCAAAGCTGTACACCTAGACGTCTGGGACTCAGCTCTCTACACTGCCCAGACGTCAGGAACACTGGAGATCAGACCATGACCTGAAATCAGATACCATGAGGACAAACACCACAGCCTTGCCTTGCCCTGACCGCCCCTCCGCTTACTACCGAGAATGGCTTGTCTGACTAGGACAGGGGGACTGGCTGTGAACTTGCTCTGTGTCATTCTGGTCATGCAAGTCCAGCAGACATCAGGAGACTGAGCTAGACTGTACCTTCAGCATCACTGTGAGTACTGGCCTCGGGGGACCCTAACCTAATGACGGTGACAGACTAAGGACATCCCAGAAGTTCATTCACTAGTCCAATGTGTGTATGCCTGTGAATATTTGACTTTACGTGAGAAAATGTAGACATGCTCAAGAAACGGCCCTTTAGATAGGCGGCCACCCTTTCTATTCTGGGAGTTCCAGTTTAATTTCAGGGAACCTCAGAGGAAGGTTAGGGGAAGAAAGGCATTCTAAAAGGAGGAAGAGCCAGAGAGGCTAGAGGCAAAGCTCAGCCCTTGCTGGTTTTAAAGGGAAGGGGCCAATAAGCCAGGGAGTCCAGGCAGCTTTCAGAAACCAGTAAAACAAGGAAGCACATTCCTCTTGAGCCCCCACAAATCCGCCAGCCCTTCGGATACCTTGACTTCAGTCTGTCACTGTCATCAGCGTTCTGGCCTCTGGACCCACAAGGCAATGTATCTGTAGGGACTGGAGACAGCTCAGCTGGTTAGCAGCACTGTGTGTTACTCTTGCTACTTGTGGTACTCGAGTTCAGTTCCCATATCTCACACCTTAGAACTGCATGTAACCCCAGCAGGAAATCCCGTGGGGTGTCCTGTGTTCTGTGGCCTCCTTAGGTTTGTGCACACGCGCACACACACACACACACACACACACACACACACACTAATTTTTTTAAATTATCTTTTAAGTAAAACTTTCAGACTCATTTTATTTTATGTGGGTGTTTTGCCTGCATGTATGTGCACCGGGTGCCTGCCTGGTGCCTGAGAAGGCCAGAAGGCGGCACTGGAACTAGAATTACAGATGGTTGTGAACCGCCCCGTGGATGCTGAGAATTGAATCTGGGTCCTCTGCAAGAGTAGCCAGTGCTTTTAACCACTGAGCCGTCTTTCCAGCCTTCCAAATACAACAAAAGAAAGTCATTGGGGATGGACCCATCCTTCAGAATCAGCAGCTTGTAGAATCAGGCTTGGAAATACAGGACATTTGATGACGGCAGAGGGGGACACCTTTGTCGTAACTCTGACCTGGTGGCGACGGGACACTGTGCACTGCTTGAATGTCAGTAATAGATAACTATTGAAACCTTACAAGAGTATTGCTTAGCATGGGATTTCTAGTAAAGAACAAAGATGTACCATATCATTATCCCTTCCCTTAAGAGTAAATTCAAGCTGGACATTGGTGGAGCATACCCTTAACCCCATCACTGGGAAGGTAGATACATGTGGACTCTGTGAGTTCAAGGCCAGCCTGGTCTATATCAGTGAGTTCCGGTACAGTCAGAGGTACAGAGAGACCCTGTATAAAATAAAATTTAAAAAAAAAATGTAGAAAGAACAGAAACGTAGCCGTTAAGCCACCAGGTTGATGCCACTTTGCTCTGGCAGCAGGAGGTAAGTTTTCTGGTATCAGCACATGACTGCAGATATGAAGATCAGCTCAGTACTGTGTCACTTTCTACAAGCTACAGCTGCTTTTTCTTTGGGCAGGGAGGAGGGAAGCAGGAGGAGACAGGGGCTCCAGGCTGGCATTGAACTTGCTATATCTCCACAGGCTACTACTTCCTAACTATAAATAAGAGATAATCTAGAATTCCATCCAGGCTTTACTAGCAGGAGGAAATAGTATCAGCAAAGGCCTCTAAAAATTACAGCCCAGCATTAAGTCAGAAGGGTCACAAGTTCAAAGCCAACCTGGTGTCTGCAGGGCTGGCGGATTTGTGGGGGCTCAAGAGGAACGTGCTTCCTTGTTCTACTGGTTTCTGGAAGCTGCCTGGACTCACACTGGCTTATTGGCCCCTTCCCTTCAAAACCAGCAAGGGTTGAGCTTTTGCCTCTCACCTCTCTGACTCTTCCTCCTTCTGGAATGTCTTTCTTCCCCTACCTGGGAAATTGCCTCCTTTGAGGTCCCCGGTGTTCAGTGGGAGCCCCATCCCTCCTTCTCTCTCTCTCCAAACCCCACCTGCTCAGAGAATCTCCAAACAAAGGAAAAGCACCCAAAAGTCCAGTTCTGCATTCCTCCCCTGTTGCCGCCAGCCGTTCAAGTCCCCTCCTAAGTGCTCAGCTTTTGACCATATCTGGGCACAAATCCTGCTTTGGCAGACACATCATCACCCCTCACCTACAATCTATAAAACCCCTTGCCTTAGTTCCAGTGTACAACTTCTCTAGCCTCAATCTCTGAGACCAGTGACCCTGCCCAGGAGTTGCTTTGCTCAATAAACCTGTTACACTTTTTCAATTCTGTTACTCTTTTTCAATTCTGCTTGATCTGGCTTACTGTGTCGGTGGAGAAACTTATGGGGGAGTCAGAAAACCTGTTATTCTGAAATTAAGCTGGGACTCCCAGGCTAGAAAGAGTGATCATCCATCTAAAGGAACTTCACTAAAACAGAGCACACCTTTACTGTCAGGTAAAGTCACACATTCATAGACGGCTGGAATGGGTGTGTGAATATTCTGGGATGTCCTTATTCTGTCACTATTGGTAGGTTAGATGTTTCAGGCCAGCAAGACCTGAGATGCTTCTCTCTCTCTCTCTCTCTCTTTTTTTTTTTTTTT